GCGAGCAATATATCTGTTAAAATTAGAAACCTTCTTTAGCGCTAGCTCCTAAATGATGTGCTCAGCATTAAGTGAGATAAAATTTCATAAAACATGAGTTCAAAAAAATGAATTGCAGTATTTAGAACGTGCATTTGGGATAAATTAATAATTTTTTATTTTAGCATAAGCTTGCTGTGTAGTATCAATCTCGTCACAAGTATAGAGTTACTAATACTTTAGGAGAACTCGGGTGGTGTTATGCTCGACTTTATAATTATTTTAAGAATATGATAGTTTGGAAGCTAGACTGATAGATGGTTTACTCACAACAGTAGTTTAAATGCATAATCTGCTACATTCTGTGGGAAGAATTAACAGAGAATGGCGATAAGGCATCTAAGAGTTATTAAGCCGACAGCATAGAGATACCGGGGTCTTAGCGGCATTGATCTCGAAGTGTTCTGAAAGAATTATGAAATGAGTAATGTACCACGTATTCAATCAAATCCTGCACTACAGCTTTTTCAAGTCCGTGTGAGGGATATTCCCAATTATCACATATAATGCAAATTTACAATGATGTACTTGCCTCATATGTGTATTTTTTACCTTCAATATGTGATAACGCAGGTGTTTCCATAATCAGACATGAATGGGCAACGTGGAGGGCATATTTTCTGATTATGAAAGATAAAGACAGATATAGAAATACAACAAAAAACCTTCTTAAATAATAAATCTGAAGTGATACAAAGTTGTCCTTATCTGACTGATTGAATTTACCACTGACCACCGCAATGTCCCGCAGGTCAGCTCAAATTAACACAACTAAAGTATGTGTGTTGTGTTTGTTGTTTTCGTTGTAGAGAAAGAGAAAGTAATCTCAGAGTCCTATGAGTTAAACTGGTATATAAATTAGATCTTTTGTATTAGACAGTTCAAAAACAAATTTTTTGTATCATTCATTTGAAGTTATTTTTCTGGGTGTTGTAGTTTTCTCTACGTTTAGCAGTGAAGGAACAGAGTATTCGTGGATAACTAGATTGTCACACATAATAATTGAATGTAACCTAAACATGTAAAAGTAAAACACAGCAGATGCACCTACCGATATTTAACTGTTGCTAGAGCTCACATAATTACTCTCCAACCATCAACTTATGGTTCTCTACCATCCTCAAGTTCCAAAATTGCTTGCATAATATGGTTTTCTCTTTTAATGTTCTTGTCTTGATGCCAATATTTTTGCACCTGAGGGTCTGAGTAGCACTGGGAGTGTCCCAACGTACAACCATCACTCATCTGACTAGCTTACTGACTTAAACAAATCACTCACGAGTAGACCTAAAACGATGTCCAACCTCCTGCATAGTGCTCACTTATGACTGAGGCAACGCTTAGGATGTTTCTCAGGTTTCTTTTTCAGAAAGTTGTCAGGCTCTTAAACATGAGATGGCTAAAAAACACTAAGAATTGAGTCAAGTAGTGCAATGTATAAGATGATATGCAGTTTAGGTTTAAAGAAGATAATAGTTCATCTCTGGTTGCTAGTTATTGGATAGTCTGTTGTTTTCTTCGTTTGTGTGTATTATCTTATAGTGTTTCTGTTTAATGGTTGAAGATTTAAACGTCTGATGTAATTGTCAAATTTCACAAGAGCACATTAAATGTCAAACAAAATAAATCCTTTATATTAAGATCATCTACATCTCTTCTT